CCGCCTGAGAGCCCTCTCGCACCAAACCCCCGCCCCTTCCCCGGGGGGCAACACTGGTCCTCCATTCCCGCCACATGGCCCTCCAACACAACTCCCCCCCCCCCCCTCCCCGTGCATCACCCGCCCCCCCTCTCTCCCCGCCCGACACCGCCGCTCTCTCAAACGTCCCCCCGACACTTTTCATGGCGACACCCCATGCTGTTAGTCTAGAGTAGTAGCCCACCCCAATCGCACCCTCCGCGCGCACAACTCCACACCATGGCTCCCCCTTCCACGGCCTCTCCAGGCCCTGCCATCACGCGGCCGCGCTCGGCGCCCTCGCGGCGCCGGCGCGCGACTAAGGCGTCGTCAAGCGGGGAGCAGTTGGTAGCGGTGGTAGTGGGCGCGTCGGCAAAGTTTGTGTGCCCGCTGTGCGCGTCGACGTTCGGGCGGCGGTGCGAGCTGAAGCGGCACGTGCACGAGGTGCACGCGCTGTCCGGCGGGCGGCGCTTCCGGTGCAAGCACGCGTCGTGTCCCAAGAGCTTCACGCGCAAGGACGCGCTCGCCAAGCACGACATGGTCAAGCACCAGGGCAAGCGCCGCTTCGTGTGCGACACGTGCTCGGAGAAGTTCACCAGCCGCTACGACCTCACGCGCCACAACGTCCGCGTCCACTCCAACGTCAAGAAGCGCTTCACGTGCGAGGTGTGCGCCGCGGGCTTCAGCCAGAAGAGCCAACTCACCATGCATAAGGGGCGCGTGCACGCCCCCACATCCTTGGGTGCGCGCGGCGCGCAGCAGCAGCGCCGCCCTGCTTCACCCATGGACTCGTTGGCTGCCGCGGCCGCGGCCGTCGCCCGCCAGGAGGCGGCAGACAAGTCAAGGCGGCACGGGACACCCTCCCGGAAAAGGGAAGCAGAGCAAGCCTCTGCGCAAAAGGACATCCAGTCGGCGGAGGTTGGCGCGCGCAACGCCCTGGCTCTGCTGCAGGCCGCCGCCGTGCTGCAGCCGCCGCACGAGAGCCAGGGCGAGGAGTCGGCCTGCACCACGGTGCTCACGGAGGCCACCCGCGCGGAGAGCGGCCCATCAACGACTGCGGGCCTTACGGATGAGGAGGACAGCAAGTGACGACGACGCGCACCGGGACCACAGGAGAGAAGGTTGGGCTCGCAGGCCGTCAGTGAGACACTTGTAAAATGAAAAGCAACGGCGAGTACATAGGTTGCGTAGTAGAGTGCGGCGGCGGCGGCGACTAGTGCGGCGGTAGCAGGGCGGGAGCCGCTCGGGCGCGCGGGGCGGCGCGGATGCCTCCCATGATGTCGTGCGGGGCGCGGGCGCTTGTGATGCAGGTTGAAGACTGGGGTCGACGGGCTGACGACGGCGGAGCTTGGTAGGCGGCAGCAGCTGTACCTAAAGCGCATACAGGCGTTGGGGAAGGCCAAGCGACATGTGAAACTGTGTACGCGTAGCGGCGGGGGGCCCCGGCGACGGCCGGCGACTGGGGCGGGCATGTAAGCGGTGTAAGCAAAAATTGGCTGGGAAAGCGTGGACACGTGTGAGGGCTACCTCGTGCCGGGCGGCAACTGGGGTCTGGTAGCCCGGCGTGAGACAGCGGCGCGTGTGGCACGGGCGAGGACCAGAAACATCCCTCAGTCACGGGGCACGGCGATGGGACACTGGGACCGTGACTGACGTTTGTTTCTTTGCCCCCGTTTGTCCCCTCCGGCCCATTTCTCCGCCACCGCCGCCACGAGAGTACCTCAAGGTCGACACCCTCGTCCTCCACCGCCGCCCTCCTCCACACAAACCACAAATCCGTCCACCTTTCCACCAACTTTCCCCTCCCCGGCCACGCCCCTCCATCTCTCCACAACCCATGACCGCCCATCCCCCCCCCCTCAATCTGACGCAGAACGCCATCGATTCGATAGCGGATACGCACAAAACCCTGTTCAGGTTCAAAGTGAATATCGCTGGCACGCCGTTGCACAGCAT